AGCCTGACCTCTGCATTGCCCTCTGGGATATATGCTTTTAAAAGCTAACCTCAGGCCAGGGGCATCATTTGCAGGGAGGTGATCCCACCCCGCACTCTCAGATTGAATTTTGCTCTGTCCTCCCAGCAGTACTAAATATAAAATAAATGGGCCAGGTTCTGATCTCACTCATTAATGGAAGCAGGGAATAAAAACAATTAATGATATCAGAATTGGGCCCACTTCAAGGCTCAGTGTTGCAATGCTACCCCAGCACATACCCCAGGAGGGAGAAAGGGTGTAATAGGGAAACTGCAGCCCAAAATGCAAGGCACCAGGGAAAGTCCCCATAACAACATCTCAGACCTAAGTATTTGGGATGAAATCCTGGCTTCATTGAAGTCAGAGGGGATTGTGCAGTGTGGGCCATTTGGGTAGAGAAATGTCCACTGAAAACAGGAACAAAACCAAGCACAGCTGTGCTCTGCATTGAAATCCCAGATGATTCAGCACATGCTTTGCTGGACAGAGATGGGATTAGAGACACGCTTAAAGATAAACCCATGCCCAAGAGTTCTATTGAATTAGGGCCACTTGCAGTCCCATCTTGGAATTGAAATCACCCTTCAGCATTAGAGGCAGTGCTGCATCTGTGTGAAGTAATGTCTGCAAGGAATTTACTACATAACAGCAATAAATCAACGATGTCTATGATCTCAACACCCCTGTGAATTTCAAATGTGAAAAAGAATAGAGCATCTGACAAAGAGTTATGTCACCTGAGAGCACTTAAGGATACGTCTACCGCATTTTGGAGCAAGCCTCCCAGGCCAGTCGATAGACTCACATGAATATGCTAAAAATAGCTGTGTAGTCAGCACTTTGAAGTTGAGGCTCGGGCTCTGAACCTTTGGGGCGGGGGATGGGCTTCCTAGCCTGTGCTCCAGACCAAGCTGCAACTTCCAAACACCGTCTATATAGCTAGTTTTAGAGTGAGTCCCACTAATCCAAGTCTGCTGACTCAGGGTGGGAGGCTCACTCCAAAATGCTGTGTAGACAACCCCTTATTTACTGCATAGCGACATTGCTTGGAACACCAACCTTTAAAACCTTTCCATTTTGCTTTTCCTTTTTAAAAGGTCTAAGTTACTTTCTTACTTCAATTAATTGATTCCACTCTGTTTTGATGGAAAATCTTAAGGAAACGTACGAAAGCTCTTCACCCCTCTTTGGCCCCTTTATGCCAGGTCAAAGGGCCAGGGTAGCATAAAGGGTTTCTCAAAGCCCCATTAACTGATTAGAGGAAGATTTGCCCAGAGCAGGCACTGCAGAAGACAACCACAAGACTATCTTTCAGAGGATCCTATCATAAGCCTTGATGTCAGGAGCATGCTGGGGGCCAGACCACAGCACGGAGTGCTGTGCAGATTCCAGGCAGTGCTGAAGCCTAAGAGGTGTTATCTGCATGATCCCTAAAGAGGGGCACCAGCTTATTTGTGTTCATTGGAGAGGGGTGACACTCCTATCTGTACCTGGAAAAGCATTTGGCATTATCAGTTTGAATAGGATGAAAACTGCCATTGCCGAAGTACAATGGGGGGGGAGGATAGCTCAGTGGTTTGAGCATTGGCCTGCTAAACCCAGGGTTGTGAGTTCAATCCTTGAGGGGGCCACTTAGAGATCTGGGGCAAAATCAGTACTTGGTCCTGCTAATGAAGGCAGAGGGCTGGACTCAATGACCTTTCAGGGTCCCTTTCAGTTCTAGGAGATGGGATATCTCCATTACTTAGGAAGAACATCGTGAATTTCAGCACACTGGGTGGTGTTCAGACCAGGTTTCCGCCTTCCCAAAACTTATTGAGAAGGGCTTAGAATACCAGCAGAAGATGGTTTTCAACTTAATTGAATTTATAAAACTGTTTGATAAAGAATCTGTCTAGAAGATCCTGAAACTCTGTGGAATTTCAGCAAACATGTGTAACCCTTCTACCAGGTGGAGCCAGCAGCAACCAGGGTCAGGTTCAATATCTAGGGGTTCCTTTCCATCGATACAAAACAGAACTGGCTCAAGTCCCACCCAGTAACCTGGGAAAATTACATACCATCCCTGGGGCAATACTTCCCCACTCGCAAGCAGAGTCCAAGTGTAGAAAAGAAACTTGTAATAAGAGGAGGAATTAACTCGGAAAACACCACAAATAGGGTTCATAAACATAAACCATGAATAAAAGGCCCATCCCCAAGTAAGTTGGGCAGTGTCCTTTTCCCTTCAGGGTCTTAAGTCCATCAACCCAAAAGTCCCTTTCACATGCCCGACCCTTCTCTGCACCCCACTCACAGTTGTTGTCCTTGGTCAGAGCAGACCCAGAGTTGCATCTGCAGAGTTCACCTCCCACCATCGGTGGGGGGTAAAGAGGCATCTTACTCGCTCTGCTGGCTGCTCACCGGCCACCTGCTCACTGCTCTTGCCGTGCCCCTCCACCAGCCACCCAGCTGGCTGCTCATTGCGCCTCTCTGCCGCCGCCCTGCTGGCCACTCGTCACACGTCTCCACCAGCCACCCTGCTGGCCGCTCATCACGCCTCTTTGCCGCCGCCCTGCTGGCCGCTCATCAAGCATCTCCACCGCCGCCCTGCTGGCTGCTCATCTCACCTCTTTGCCGCCGCCCTGCTGGTCACTCATTCGCCAGCTGTCTGTCAGTCACCTTCTGCCTCTGCTGTGACGTCTGCACATCAGTGTCTCAGTGATTTTCAGCTCTTTTGCAGGCTGGGCAGAAACACTGCCCCCTCTCAAGTGATTTCAGCTCTCATGATTTTAGCTCTCAGCAGGGCAGAAACACAGTCCTACCACAAGTGGTTTCAGCTCTGATTGAACAATTAAAATGACAAGAGAGGCTTCTAATGAAGCCTATTTAGCTCTATTCTTTG